AAAAAAAAAAACTGAATTAAATAAAAATATTTACAATTAATTATGAAATAATATATAAAAAATAATTGAATTGTAGGAAAGTGGATAGGCGATGTTTTTCTTTTCTTTTTTTTTGGAAAATAAAAAATAATATTTTGGGAAGTTCTGATTTGAGTTTGTAGTCATAAGGCAATTTTTTTTTGGAATTTTAAAAGAAGGAAGAAAAATATATAGCAAAGCTTGGAAGGGTTTCTTATTTTACTTATGAAAATAATAAAATTATCTTTTACGTTTCACAAGATTATTAAAACCTCAGCAAGTGCATTAATTCACATCGCATTCAATTTGCAGTTAACGGTTTTGAAAAAACATTGAATTAGGAATGCAATGAAATTAATCGTTGAACAATTAATGCATTTAAAGAATTCATAAGTAAAGAAGTTCTGAGTGGTTATTCCTGTTACAATTGTTGCGAGTTTTATTCAAATATTTTTCCTGACTATCCATCCGTCCCATAACCGACGTGCGCCGTAAAAATGTAAAAGTCAAAGCAGGCGTGTTCCCAGTTTCATTGATGAGCCTTAAATTAGCATCCAATTGGTTTTGTGTATGTTTAATTATTTTTTCGCTATCTTCTTCCCGTTTTATCGTTACGAAAACCATATATATCAAATTTAGCAGCCCTTACTACATCTGCTTTGATAATTACACGCTTGCAGAGGCATCGTAGTTCCGAAAATGGTAAAATTTTTAATTTAAATGCCCTGTTTGGACTCTTTGGATCATTACTATGAAGTACGATCACCATTACATAATAAATTTTGGATCAATGAAAACGTTATTCGCTGTTGTAATTTATAAATAAATTTGTGTTATCTAATATGCGTGCGTATTTAATACGTGTGTATGTATTTAAAATTCCATTCAACTCTATAAATTCATTCATTCATATTTATGGTGTTCGCATCTAATCATTCAAAGATAATGATTCAGTTAACTTACTTCATAATTCGAATTTATAAACATATTTAATTGCTTAACTATTTTAATACAATTTTCCAGTTTTTGTACTTCTTCCGAAAAATATCATAATTTTTAGCCTTAGAATCAATTCAATCGATGCCACACCGAAGTCGTAGAATTGCAATGGTGCCCTGTCATCATGATCGTCAAAATAGCTTATATATTTTCCCATTTTTAACAATGAAATTTTACGTGTTATCGATTCCATGCAATTAACTGGCAAAGAAACCTTGGCAACTCCAGCCGATTGGAATGTACGCTTCTTGTTATTGTAACCAAATTTATGGCTAATGAAGTTTTAAACATTTCCTTCTTCTTAGCAAGCAGATAGTTGTATGCTTTTACCTACACTTTCCAACGAAGAAGCTTCGGAAAAGTATCCTAAAGACTTCAAGACATTCAATGTACCTTCAGGAAAGACGTACATCCGCCAAACGCTACAGTCCTAATGTCAGCCAAGTCCTAAAAGTTTTTTTTTTTTCTGTTTAAACTATACTAGTATTAACTTTTCATTGCATTTTAATTAAATTGACCTTGAAAATGTATTTTCAAAAATCAAAGACACAATTTAAAGAATACAAAATGATTTTGATATATCGAAAAGATGCTTTGTTCATACCAACAATCTTCGGGACATGTGCGTTTTCGTTATTATCATACGAACGAAAATAATATAATGAAACGTAATAAAGTTAACATAATTATAAATTAAATGGATATCACTTCTCCGGGTATACTTAGGATGTCCAAATAAAAGTAAAGCTTACACTATAACACAGATCATAGTGTTAATATTTCATGTAAAGGTTTGAATATGTTTTGATGAGATATTTGTAATTCCCACGCAAGACAAGTTGATTTTAAGGATCTTTTGGATTTGATATAAATCGTCTTTAACTGTTTTCCTTCATTTCTATACCAATCACCGAAGACAATAGTCATGTTCCGCTATAAGAATTCTCGATTTCAATAAACTGGCAAGTAAATCAAATATTTTTCACATAAATTTTTGTTTAAAGTACTCCTCAATCCCATCTAGAATTAGCAAAAATATGAAACAGCGTCGGAGAAGTGTTTTATAAAAATGTCAATCATTTTTAAGAGTTTTTTTTTTAAAACCTAATTCTTACTGCACTGTATACTTATTGTGTACAAAATTCTTTTAAAAATAAATTTCAATTTTAATGCCATTCTTGTTTCATCAAACATTTCTTGGAGTAATAAACTAATATAGAAAAGAATATTTCACATTTTGCTTATCGCAGAAGACATACCCAGCCTTTTTAAAATGGAAACAAAATTTATGTATAAAAAAACGAAAAAATATAAAGGAAATTTTAACATATTTTCTTGTAAAATTCACAAAACAAATTCGATAAGCAATTTTTATATGTACATAGAAAACCAGCCTGGTTTCGTCTCGGCACCAAGCTATAGCGAACAATACCTATTATTATTATTATTTATTACTATTTGAGAGTTTACATCGTTACGAAAATTATTTAAGTGAGTAATGTGCTCAATAAAAGTATTTTTATCTTCGAAAATAGTAATGAATGAATATCACTTCAATTCATTTCCGATAAGATCTGCTAAGCAAATCTTCTTAAACTCTGCTTTTTTACTGCTGTCATGTTAAGGTGAAAAATTAGCTGAGTTAATCTTCAAATTCAAAATTTGAAAAATTACAAATAGGCCCCACATAGATTGTAAGTATATAATACTCGAAGCGTTGTATTAATTTTTTCTTTTTCACATTCCTCTTCGAAAGTCAATCGAGCTTTTTTGATGGGAAAAAGATATTGGCTCTACACTTAACATATTCGAGAAATGTTCACGAAATAACATACCCTAGACTTGAATAACCATAAACTAACTCAGGTGTCATATATATTATCCAACTGAGAAATTATCAATTATAGCTATTTGGAATGAGTCGAACTGTAATGAAAGTGACAAATAATTTCCTAATATACTAATACAACAAAACATTAGCTGAGAGTTTAAAATCTCAACAAAGCAGCCGCGATATTTATTTACCTATACATCTTGAACGCAGTTATTTAATTGTTTAATTTTTTTTATTACAAAATATTATAAAAATTCTTATTTAATTAAAAACACGAATCTACATTCGGCGAGTTTTTAAATGTTTGAATTAAATGTTATTATAACATATAAAAATTATAAAAATTCTGTAGGGCAAATTTCTCTTATGGACTATGAAGAGAGCTTACTGCAGAATTTGCTGATGTGAACATTTGGCGTGAATGAGAACAAAGCACGCAGTGACGTCCAAAATACTTCCACGAAACAATATACCGGCGTGTAGCTCGAAAATCAAATTTGAACATAACTTCGTCCACAACGATCGTAAGTCTTAAAAGCCCTGAATTAGTTGCAACACTGCGTTACCTTTCACTTCATATACACGAATCATTCTATCCATTAAGAGGTCATAGTCAAACTCTGAAGAAACTATATTTACCTAGGTTACATAACATGGTCACCACCATGCTCTCTCGGTCAGAGCTTGGCCAAAGGCTAGGGCATAGATTTAAAAGTTGAAAGTGATACTTTGAACGAAGTTTTATCGGGCATTGATTTAAAATTTGATCCTAATGCTTCCTTTAATTAAAAATATAGTTTATTATAGAAAACATCATAATGTGTACATTTATCGCATCATAGCCAAAGTAGAGCAAAAATCAATTAAAAATATAAATAGACAGGAATTTATCCGTTAAGAAGCAAGAAAGAAGCGGTTAAGTTTAATATTACGTCAGTTTTAACATCTTTCAGATACTATTTCTCTTTTAACATAACGTTTAATACTCTTTCATTTTAATATTCCACGTTTAACATTTCTCAGATATTACTTGACTTTTAACATTTTTCAGACGTTATTTCATTTTAACTCAAGATTAATTAATTGGTAATAATTTAACATAAGTGACCTTATAATGTTTTATATGAAATGTCGACATACTTAGGTGGCACAAACAGTTTTTATCACTTTCCTAAACTTTCCTTTTCGCTGGTGGGCCGGTAAATTTTTTTTATGATAACCACATTTTTAGCTAGTACAGCTTTAATGCCCGAAAGCGAAAAACTCTTCACAATAGATCAGCAGAATTATCCCCGTTTAGTATCGAAAAATTAAGACTTAAAGAAATAACTTAGTAAAAAAGTTTGACAAAGATAGGATACACAGACTCGAATTTGTACGGTTTCTTCTACGTAATCAGAAACAACACTCGGTCTTCAACATACGCAAAAGTGTTACATTGGGAAGCTAATAAGGCATATAGGAAGAAATAAACTGGTTACAATTATAACCAAAACTTAAGAGATCTTCAACAAGGTATATACAAACTCGTTTCCCGAGGTAGCGATTTGATGGGTACTTTATTAGCATATATATAATTTAGAGAAAGTTGATCATTACATAAAACTTGAACGTCGGTTGATAGATAAAGAAAATGTTAATTGAATAAAAAATTATATTCTACGTATTGTCGACATTGCCATTATTGTTATCATTATACGCAATTGTTTCGTCAATATCATCGGGGATTTCTTCATCGCCGTCCTGTACGGTAGAATCCAGTAGTTAAGGAAGCAATCTAAATATAGAGTAGAAAACTTATTCGAACTATAAGACCATCCAGTGGAAAAGTGAAAAAGTTCTTTTTTTCAAACTATTCAGAGATAGTAATAATCCACAATTATTAGCCGCTAGCAAAATCTTAACAAGGAATAAATAATTCTCCCTAAGTGATGGTAATTCCCCCTTTTCTGTGTTTGCTGTTTCAGACTTTGTTTAGGCGATGCTTCATTATGAGACCATTGTTATGTTCATGCTTGACCTCAAATAGTTATTAAAATTTACCATTATGGTCATGGCTAGTTACTACGTTCATTCAAAGAATGATATTGAACTAGGAAAGCAATCTTAGCAGAAGTGAAATTTGGAAAAACGAATTTATTGTTTTTTTGATAGCAAAGTTTTTAAAGATCAATAATATCAACAATGTTAAAAGTTATATATATAGACATTATGATAAATGATCCTGTAGAAATAAACATAACAACATTTCTAGGGGGCTACTCAGATTCCTGGACTTTAATTTGTAGATATTCGACAGTCTAAGTGCGCTCAGGCAATCCTCTTTTTCTATAGAATAATAGATAGAAAGAGGTGTTATGCCCAGCAACGCCTCTAGCGCATTCAAGGGGCACGATATCATCGCTAGGCAAAGAGTGCCCTGGTCGCCTTTTTCGTTAGCCGTCTTAAATGAGAATTCTAAGTTAAGCTTTTCTCAAGATAGACGCCCAGATATTTCACCTCATTTGAATAGTCAAGGACAACATCCCATACGTAGACGTTATCCAATGTTATTTACCTCTTTTTCGAGAAAGGCACCAGAACTGTTGTTGGTGGATGAATGTGTAATCCTTTATCCTGGCACCACCTGTTGGTTATGTTTAGGGCTCACATGTGATCTTACTTTTGAAAAGTAAATGTGTTGACAATACAAGTTTTTCAAAATTGACTACTTACGCTTCTTGGAAGCTTACATTCTATATTTTAAAACTACTTTCGTGTATTGAAAAACAGGAAGCGTTTGGGTAAATTATAAAAGGTTTTAAATGGAGGATATTAACTACTTTATAGCAGAAAATTTATTTGTTTAAGAGCAACGACTGCAACGACATCTAGTTGTGATACATAGCTGTCACAAAAATCGTAAGTACTAATATTTACAACCCTCGTCGATTAAATGTGTTTGTCATTCCTAATAACATAAAACAGTAGCTACTGTCTAATTAAGAAAACATATTCAGTTTTTTTTGCTCTAATAATAAATAAATTAAAATGTTTTCTACTTCGAATAAAAATACTTTGTTCTGCAAAGAATTTTGGGGTAATGGTCCTGCACCGGGAGGATTTTACAATTTCGTAGGCACTAACGAGAATACCTCGAACTTCAATAAAGTTTGCAAAGAGTACACAACACCGGGTCCCTTTGGAACACAACACTCCTTGTAAGTTGTTAGGGAAGATCGAGACCCTATTTGACCAAAAAATGTTTTAATATTAAAATAGTGGCTTTTCCTTGTTCCACTTTATATTCCGAAGGAAAAAGACCCTGACAAATCAAACTAATGCCTGCGAACTCCATAGAAATGATTGATTATATTATATCGGAATATCGTTAAAAAAAAAAGTAACCGATTTACTTGTCCTATTTTTCAGTTCTCCGATTACCACTGGCAGTTCCGTTGTTGGCATTAAATTCGATGGAGGTGTTATGATTGCTGCTGACAATTTAGTTTCCTATGGTTCGTTGGCTCGCTATCAAGATGTAGAACGTGTTTTCAAAGTGAACGATAAAACTATTATGGGTGCCAGTGGCGATTTTGCCGACTTTCAAAGTTTAAAACGCAGCATTGATCAAAAAATAATCGAAGATACTTGTGATGATGATGAAATTATTATGAAACCTAAAGCTTTGTACACTTGGTTAACACGTATATTGTATAATCGTCGTAGTCGATTTAATCCTCTTTGGCTGGAGATTGTTGTTGGCGGTTTTGATAATGGTATACCATTTTTGGGTCACGTAGATCTACGCGGTCGAGCTTATGAAGATACTGTCGTTGCTACTAGTTTCGGTAAACATTTAGCTTTACCCTTAGTAAGAGAAAAACTTGGTGACAAAAAGCTGTTAACACTAAGCGAAGCTAAGGAAGTGGTATGCAAAACGAAAGTTTATTTAAAATTACTTTCATCTATAATGAGAATGTATATTTTTTGTGAATATTTGCATATATGTGTAGCTGCGTGAATGCATGGAAGTTTTGTATTATCGCGATTGTCGTGCAATTCCCAAATATATGGTAGCCGTTTGCACTAAGGATGGCAGTGTTATTGAAGGCCCATTTAATAACGATGAGAATTGGAAATTGGCCACTATGGTAAAAGGTTATTAGGCGTTACATTTTGTAAAGAACATACAAATTAATTATAAAAATACATTTTTTATTATATTGTAAACACACATGTGAAATGCCTTTATATGGTTGGAAGAAGCTCATTTAGTAAGGTTGCAAAATTTCGAGAATAGCTTTTCGCAAACATCTCAAATGCTTTCCAAGAACTCATTAGAAAAACTGCAACTTTAAAAATCGTTTTTGATTTACCTCTTAAAGTATTTCTTAAAGTAGAACTAAATAAAAGAAATTCTAACCTCGAGAATTATACATATTCGGAAAGGTTTCGTATTTTATTTCGACTAAATATAATAATTACGTATATAACAATAAATATATAATATATTGAAAGATGGTTTATCCAATGCTTACTAGAGTAACTTCTTCTCTTTTTTTTTTCTGCAAAAAAATTGCTTGGTAGCGCAAGCAGCGATTTCAAAATTCGTTTTTGATTAAAGCAACGCCTTATAAATTTAATTCAATTAATTTAGCATAGTACGCCTGTCATAGATGTGGCGTCGTTGTTCGCGCACTTGTCTTTTCCACTTATCCTGCTGATGTCCAACCCGATTTAAAACATTCGCTCGTGAGTTGAGCTCTTGATTAGCCAAACTAGGTAAGGGTGGAGTAGTTGTGGCGGCATCATCCTGAATAAAAGAAAGTTAGAGAAATTGTATTTAGTAAAACAAAACTTGACTAAGCCTTTGAATGAACTAATATGAGAGGCGTTAAAAGGAAAAAAAAATTGGAAAAATTTTAGGAAATGATAAAAAAAAAAATGAAAACCAGTCAATAATCTTTATTATCTACTAAAAGAGTATATTTAACGTTAGCATAACGATTATGTACATCTTCATTGGTGTGCTCCTGATAATTGGCCTTAACACGTTTATTGAGCAGCGGATCCAAACACATTAAGAACAGCATATATATCACCAGAATCGATATAATCCAAATAACGATAATCACAACAACCTGAAAACGAAAACGAGAAAAAAAAACTAAAAAAATCATAAAATAATTTATACAAGTGTGATAATAGTTGACAAAGGCAAGCTAAGTAGCTTCGTTTTGTAAATAGGAATGGAAAATATTATTTCACCGACCGGAAAAAGCTTTTCTGAGTTGCAAAAACAAACCAAATGATTAATCTGATTCTCCTTCTAGGAGGATTACATCATATCATCATTAAGATAATTAGTTCTGAAACTGTCAGTGCCAGCAAAAGCTTGACATCTTAAGCGATTAAGAGGAGTCTGCTTTTTACTTCCTAATTAAAAATTCATAACATGTCAGGCATTTTGCTAGATTGACCGATAAGATTATCAGTCTTAGTGGTTGTGTTTCGATTTTCGTTATTAGTTTTCTTGTCCTTTTTACTATTGCTTACCTTAATTAAAGTGGTGTTGCGCGCTTTATTATTACATCTACACTCTGGACAAATTTCTAACTCTTTCCCATTATCGCCTAAACGAGGAAGCAACGCACCATCGCAAACACTACGCGGAAATACAAATATTCACTCTAATTTTTCGCATTATTTTGTCTTTGTTCTACTTGCCAATTAGGCGATGTTGTTATGTTAGCAGCAGCAGGTAGTAATCCAGCTCCATGTAAAAGTGCTGGCGTGCTAGTACTACTGATTGTGACTGGTTTCTGACTGCCTAGATTATTGTTTACAACGGATGTATTTGTTGAGCTCTCCGCCTTAAATGAAAAATTAGATATTAAACATTGGACTGCAAGTAATTTCATCTTCTTATTACCCATGTTACGTCTATTAAATAACATATGGCGAAGAATTTAGTAACAACTAGAAGATATTTGTACCCCATTATGAATTTTTAAAGTAAAGTTATCAAGATTAAGAATGAAAGCTGTAAAGAAGATATTTTCATTATATACCAGCTGGTTTCGTACGATCTTTTGCAACCTTATTAAATTGCAAAAAAGTAAGATTCGACAACCCTACACGCATTATTCAACAACAAAGTGATAAAATGAAATCGATAAAGACAAAAACATCCTTACTATTTAACCTTTTTATTTGCATGTATTTCCTTTGTTCAAGTTAAGATTATACGAAATTTTGTAATTCTTCACTGCTAAATGCTTTGCCAGATCTAACGATTTTTTTTGTGGAAACTAAAAGTAGAATAGGGTGGCAATAATTCTATCAACAATATATGACATATGTTTTTTATATCTATCTCGTTTTAAGACTCCAATGAACTGACGTGAACATATCTGATCACAAACGAATCTTTTTTTTATTTAACAAATTTTCCATAAATTATCAAATAAAAGTAGTATAGAGCGCAACTGACATGATATCATATAAAAGTCAAACTTGGATAGTAGTTGCTCTTACGGTTTTTACAAGATTTCCGCAGTCTTTCGGTGAGTGAATGAGTGAGTTTTTATTTGTAAAAAATGTGTGCGGTTCTGATTGGTGGTTAACCGCCCCTTAATGCTCCTTAATGAATTTTTTTTTTTATTGTGTTGTTATTTACAGCGGCAAAGAAAAACTTTGTGACATGCGGCTCAATAGTTAAACTTTTAAATACGGATTACAATGTGCGTTTGCATTCGCACGATGTCAAGTATGGTTCTGGTTCAGGTCAACAATCAGTTACAGCTATCGAATTGAAGGAGGATGTAAATAGTCATTGGATTATAAAGGCACCTACAGACAAATACTGTGAACGAGGAGAACCTATTAAGTGCGATGAAATAATACGTTTGGAGCATTTAACCACCAAAAAAAATTTACATTCGCATTATTTTGCTTCACCGCTATCAGGTACCAAAAAAAGTTATTCATTATTATTCGGTTTTATTAATAATAATTAGTATTAATATTCCTTTTCTTTCAGGAGATCAGGAAGTTTCGGCTTACGGGAACAATGGATTTGGTGATACGGGAGATCATTGGCAATTACTTTGTTCCAATGATGTATGGGTGCGTGATGCTCGCGTCCGTTTCCGTCACGTAGATACGGGAGCATATTTAGGTTTGTCCGGTCGATCATTTGGTCGTCCTATAGCTGGTCAAATGGAGGTTGCAGGCCTTGGTAGCCTTCATCGCGATGGTACGCGATGGACTACTGCGGAAGGTCTTTACATAGCACCGAAAGAAAAAGAGGCTGAATATGCTCATACTGAACTATAAATAAAGCCCCGTAAAAGCCTTTGAAATTGTTCCTCTAGGTAGGACTCTATTGACCTCATGGTGTTTAGTTGAATTGTAACATTAAGTTAGAAAACTGGTCCTAACAACAATGTGGCCCGTTATGATGGAGTTTTTTTATATAAACAAAATTAAGGTAAACGAGTTTTAAAAAATGATAATAAAAATAAATTTGGAATGAAAATGTATTGGAATATGCTTTGGGAAAAGTAAGGAGCATTATTTACGGGTAAGTGAAAAACAATTAATAAAGCTTATTAAAATTCAAAATTGTATAGAATTCATTTTAATACGTTTCAGAGCATTTTTTGTTTTTATATCAATTGACAATGGGCTGTTTCAAAAAAAAGTAAAAGTTCTTTATGCGAATAAAATATTGCTACTGCAACAAGCAATTTTTTAAAAAGTTATGGAATAGAAAAGTATGAGCATTTTCTTTCAAGAGGGATTCTATACTGACATAGAGTGGAGAATTGCCACTTTAGTTTTCAAAAGGTATAATTCAGTTAAAATCAAAATTTTGATTTCCAAGAAATATTTTGATGTGGGTAAGAAGCACCAATTTAAGTTCTTAAAGCCGGCAAAAGCTTTACTTTAAAGGAATATAAAAGTAATTCGTTAAAGGACTGAGCCGTTTCGGTTTCGGAATATTCCCTTTGAAGAACACATTTTCCAGTTTCGAAGGGATTGATGTTATTTCTGTATCCATCATAGAGTTTTATATATATATATATATATATATATATATAGATATAGATATACAGTATATATATCATTATATATATTTAGTATGTACATATATCAGCAGCGTTTGGAAAATAATCATTCTTCTATTAAAAAGGAAAAAGAAAGGAAAAGGAAAGTCATCTTCTCTCAGATGAATCTAGCTTATTATTTTATTATTATTTTGATTGGCTTTATTGAACAATGGCATATTTGAACAATGCTGATCATAAAGACGTCTTCATTTTTGCATTTGTAACGATTCACAAAATTTAGCTTTTGAAGTGGCGGGTTTCCGCAAAATATAGTGCTCTTAGTAGCTGCCACCCTGTATATGCAATGGATTGTTCATCTTCCAACCAAATGTCGTATAGCATTCTAATAAAGCTTTTTTTTTGGTTAGTTTGTATAAACACTTTTTTTTTCTTGTCTTATTTTTAGTAATCTTATTAAGTGTTTAGGAAAAACTATATTTTTCGAATAATTGTTAATACTTTATATAAAGCTTATTACTATAGCGTAGTTATATGAAAGTGTGCATTCCGTTGGCAAATAAGTAAATCAACAAAAACAAGCAACGCTAACTAAAGCTCAAATTCTAACATTTAAAGGTGCGCGAACATATGAATAGAGGGCTTCAGCCATATTTGTGGCGACAAAGCTGCGCCCGCTCTCTAAGTCTTTCTAATCGTCACGCATGCCATAAGCTACTGTTTATATTTAAAAAAAAGTGAATTGAGCTTGTAGTCTTGTTCCTTTTTGGTGTAGCTTGCTTGTTCTTCTTCCATTTTGGTGTAGGTTGGTTGTTCTTCTTCCTTTTTGGTATAGGTTGGTTGTTTTTCTTCCTTTTTGGTATAGGTTGCATGTTCTTCGTCCTGGGCTGGTGAAACATAATGCTAAACAACGCGCACAGTTGAAGAATTAATGCCGTAAATATGAAGAGACGAAGGAGGCTTTAAATAAATAAATATAAAAAAATAAAATAAAAAAATAATAATAAAAAAAACATTTATTTGAGTAGCCCTTTCGTCAATTTTGGAAAAATACCATTTCTTTCAGATTTAATTCGATATTTCTCCTTGATAATTCATTGTTTGTTGTTTGTCCCTACGTTAAAGCGTACAACATAATCTCGATTGTAAAGAAAGATTTCGAACCTACCTACCATGATTTATTTTCTATACATTATACGGCTGTTTTTTATTTTCACGCTTATTTTATTGCCATCGCTGGAAAAGCTAATTAATGCTAAAAGCATTGTTAATCCAATATAGTTAGTTAGGTATGAATACATGCATAAGACAATATTTACACAATTTTCCTGTGAGAATTTCATCCAGATTATATATTTCCTTTTCTAATTAGAATCATATAATGGAAGAAAGAAAAAAATGGCTAAAAAGAAAAAAAAACCTATGCAGATATGTGAGCGCTTTGATTGGTTTTTTTTTTGTCATCTAGCTAACTATACTCTAACGAGACACAATCGCTTTACTAAGTAATGAGAAACTAAACAAAACCTCCAGATGATTTTGATGGAAATATTCGAAATCCCCGTCTGTTTTTCTTGAATGTTTTTATCATTAAAAAAAATTAGTTTTATTTGATATTTTCAGGCATTTCTCATAATAAGTGTACACGTAGGCTTTTCCACCAAAACCACACAACAAAAAATATTACTCCAGGCCCTCGATCGCAGGGTTCGGTAGTGTTTTTCTTGCTCGATGGGTCTTTGTGTTCAATCATCAGTATTTTCGCTAGTCTTCAAGTTATCATAACCAGAGTCGACGTCATCACGTAGAGTAGTCCCTTACTTTGGAAAGCCAATGTACGAATAACGGTATTAGTGAAGTGATATACGGGCGTTTATTCTCGCCCGTGGTCGATTGTAACTGGTCGACATTTTCTTGGTTCCGTATTTACTCGCGTGATTACTACTTAATGTATCGTGGATCTCGGCCCTTTCTTTCTTTGCCTTGAACGGTGTCCAAAATCTTCTCTTCATTTAGTGCACTTTCAAGTTTATCTACCATCGTCATGAATAGTTTCTTTTTCTATGCGAAGAAGATGTTTGACCCGTTTGAAGTTTCTCAGGAAAGGTACCTTGTGAAGTTCTCGATCGCATTTTGCTAATATAAATATTTCCCATCAGCTTTTCAATTAAATCACTCTCAACTTTAGATTCGTGTTAGAGGTCGTATGATTAGGTTCTTCCTATGTCGTATAGCTTCGTTTGTCGCACTTACGTGGATGTTTTCCTTCGATTAGTCCTCTCAATCCTAAATCCTGGAATACCGTTGTGCATTTTAGGATCTAGAGTTTCTTGTACGTATGTCTATATGGACTATTAGTGCCTTCATTTATGAAAGATTGAAATGACTTTTGGCTCAGTCCATTTCTTCGCAATTCAAAATCATCCTCACGTTTCTGTACATTCTTTGTCCACGGTCTTCTTGATCCAGACGCAATTTTCTAAACATCTACTTGATTCTTGCAGTAACTCAATAGTTATTTACTCCCTAAGATCTCTAAAATATTTTCTAATTTCCTGTCTTTGGTATCATACGGGACAACGCGTCGTTTCCACTTTTAATTCCTTTTTTTTAATGATAATCAAACTTGGACAGTCCCAGTCACCATCGTTCGAGTTTGTTTTCTTTATTGAAGAAAGTCAAGTCAAGGATTTGCGTATGTTTCAACGAGGAAGTTCCTTTAAAAGAGGTTGGACTGAGAATATTCAGTAGCCCACCTTTTTGGCATGTACTCTCTTATGGAATTTTTCTTGTTTCACTCTTTAAGGAATTGGTTTTTTTCTTTTTACAATTTTTAGATGTTTCGTTACAATTTTGTTCGCTACCAATTACTTCTTACAATCTCTTCTGTATTGTGAAACGATTTTGAATTGCCGCCAACTGGTTTTTACCTTTACTAAAAAGAATTCCCATATGTTGAGAATGGAGAGAGAACAGAAATCACAAAGTCGTTTTAAATAAACGCAATCCCTACACCATGGAAAATATCCCCGACGGCAAATAAATTTTCCTTATCTTATACAAAAAGCAAATAAAACAAAAATTTAAAATTTTAACAAATATTAATTTATTTATATTTATTTTATTCGGACATTTTTCAAAGTTTACAACCAGTTTGACCGTTTGGACCAGCTTAAAACGGTAAACCGTGCTCATTCTCATCACAAATTTTTTCTGAATTCAAATTATCTCATTTTTCCCTCCACCAGACAAATGTAAACAAACTCAGACGCTTATTCTCACATTTTTCGAATTATTGAGAATTGTATACGCTTATTCTCGTATTTTTCGCTTACGACTATATTGTTGTTGTTCGCAGAGTTGTTTTTAAAAAAATGTTATACTGGGATTCAAGAAATTGAGCTACAAGGTCTCTCAAAATTACCAAAAATCAGTGTAAATGCCTCTATTACTAGTTAGGAGTAAGAGGGAGAGACTGAGAGAAAGAAAGATTGAATTTGTGAAAAATTTCTCATATGTAAATATGTATTTCAAGGTATAAGAGAAGTATAATAGAGAGAATAAGAGAAGAGAATCTTTCCTAAACTATATTTTTGCAATAAACTTCATACAAAGCTTATTAAAACAGCTTAGTGAGAAGTAGAAGAGAAAGACGGAGCGAGATAGAGAGGCAGAGAAAGATTGACTTTGTGAAAAGTTTCTCATACATAAGTATGAAAGAGTATGAGAGAAGAGAACCTTACCTAAACTATATTTTTGGATTAACTGTTAACACTTGATAGAAAGCTTATTATTACAGTTTAGTTAGAAGTAGAGGAGAAAGAGAGAGCGAGAGAGAGAGAGAGAGAGAGAGTAGACTGCGAAAAATATTAAGTATGAGAGAAGAGATGTATTGAAGAAAGTAATGGAGATATTGAGCAAAAGAAATTGCTTACCCGAGATTGTCTTATCGCCTCATCTCATGTTGCTTGTGGTAAGTTTGCCAGTTGAGGTAGACCAGTTGTAAGGATAGTCCTCTTAAAAAGGCGTATATTGTACTATTAAAAAAAACAAAAAATATTGATAAATAAATATAAATATATATATATGTATATTTTTTATTTATATACATATATAAATAAAAAATTCAAGTAAAGGAAGAAATTTTAAAGCAAACGAAGTTGAAAGTTGAAAAGTGTTTTAAAACTCTCTTTTTTGTTGTTGTTAAAAAATAATTACTTATTGTTACAATAAGCAGCAAGAAAGTTATTACATAAATCTTTTTTGTTTGGCTTTTTTTTTATCACAAGCATATATATTCTCACATAAATGTATACAAACTCGTTTTGCTTATGAAAATCTCGTGCCGCGTATAAGAGATTAATACATTTGCTCTCTTTTGCTCTTATCCACTCTATGCAAAGCGAAGAGCGTTTATATATAACATTCTCATGTTTGCGTGTTTTTTGCT